ATTTTTTTTTTAAAAACAAATTAAATTTTTTTTATTTTGTTTTTGGGGAAAAATAATTCGCTTTTATTTAATTAAAACTAATTTTCCTTTTGGTGAAAAATTTAAATAAATTTTACATAAACATTAATGGAAAAATATATCTTTAAATCGTATAAGATAAAATTTTAGAAAGGACTTAATTTTAATGAGTTCTTGCTAATTGACAGTTTTACATATTCGGCACGACATATATAAATATATATATATATAATATATAATATATATAATATTATATATTTATATATAATATTATAATCTTATATATATATATATATACATACATACATATATATTATATATATATATATATATATATATATATATATATATATATATATATATATATATATATATATAATATATGCAAGGAATCCGCGAGAGCAGGCGAAATATACACAAACACTGATCTCTGGCTGAAGGAGACTCGAACCTACGAATATATATATATATATATTTTTTTTTTTCAACAAGTCGCTCGTCTCCCACCGAGGCGGGGTTTGACCCAAAAAAGAAAGAAAATCCCCAAAAAGAAAATACTTTCATCATCATTCAACACTTTCACCACACTCACACATTATTACTGCTTTTGCAGAGGTGCTCAGAATACAACAGTTTAGAAGCATATACGTATAAAGATACACAACATATCCCTCCAAACTGCCAATATCCCAAACCCGTCATGAAAGAGGACGGGTTTCTTAGTAATACATTGACCCTGTAAGTGCAGTGTTTCCGCTGACTCACAGGACCACACGTCCTGTAATATGTAGTAACAGTGACTCATTTTGCTGAGACGTCAAGAGACATATTTTTTCCCTGAAAAATAAATTCCACCTACCAACAATGAAACAGCTTAAATATTTACCTATGGTTCTGCAGAGTCCAGTGGAAATATTAACTTTGGTGAGGAATATACTGGCGAGCAAGATGTAGGCGATGAGAAGTGATGAGACAAGAGAGAGCAAACATTTTCCGTGTAACTTGTTTCTCAGCTCAGCCAAACTGGCGTACGCCGCCAGTGTCAAGCTGAGGAACATACATGAGACCAACAGGAGACTCGGGTACAGGTAGCTCCTCACTTTGCTGCAAGTCGACGCCTCAGTGTTGTCATCGAAGCACAGCAATGCCTGAGTGGAAGCTGAGGGTTCTATACGGAACTTATCCAGGCAGTAACGATCAGGCGGATACGCGTCCTTGTATCCTGAGGCGTAGAGATACCCATCATTCAGCAAAGAAATATTGGTATTTTCTGACTCAAAATCTCCAATCACAAAAAAATTCTCACATAGTGGAAATCCATAAACAATTTTTAGACCCGATGGTGAGGGTACTATTTGGGACACACTGTCAGGATCATAAAATGTAGGGTTCCAAAATTCACTTTCGTATATGGCATCGTCACAGCTGTAGCCAACTATTAACTGACTTTCTGGACAACACTTCCGCACGCAGGTGGCATTACTACACTGTGTGTAGTGGCTAGCAACAGGGTCCTCATAGCAGGTTTTGACAATATAATCCTCTCTTCCTTCCTCCACAGACACGCAGAAATCTTGTTGCTTAGCTCCTTGTAAATTGGTTGACGACCACACTAATGAAACATTACCTGACTGATAGTTAAGATGAATCTCAAGATTGTTCAAACTTAGATTTACCAGTTCTTGAAGTCCTTTACAGGTTACGTTGATGATATCTCCATTTACTCCTGCCGGCCAGTCTGTAAGCACCCCATCTACCATGACAGGCGGTGCGATAATGACTTGACCGAAATGGGTAGCACATGAATAGTTTGGTGCGAGGCCTGGACCCTGGGGACAGCAAAGGGGCACCTTCGGCGGTGGAAGACATACAAGCGCCTCCCAAGAGAGTGGTTCCCCATTATTATCCATTGTGTGATCAATACAATACTTTTCATATTGGCGCTGTTGCCAGTATAAGTATCCAGAGTCCAGAAGGGAAAACTGTTGCACAGAGCCCCGGTTTGAGTCGAGTAATGCAAGGACCTCACCCGCAGCACACTGCGGCAACCCGGTCTCCACATTACCAAATTCTCTCGTCTGGACTGCAATAATGTGTTTTGTGATGGGGTTATGCACTACCACAATGGTCGAGGTATTCAAGCACCTCCACCCATCCCACACTTGGTCCCCCAAACACCGACATTTATGCAATGTTGCGTTATACATCCGAGTGGTGTACGCAACACTGTATGTAGGAGACAGATCCCCATAGGACTTTATTGACGAACCATTATGTAGCTCATGTAGATACTCGTAGTCTAAGGCCTTATAGGCCCTGACAGGTGAAGCTGTAGACCACAATACTGCTACTATCGCTGCACTCAATACCTTCACTTGCATACTTGAAATTATGCTCATTATTCTTAAATGACACTGGTAGTAAATGAACAAACACAGACCAACACTCGAAGAAGTTATGTTGAGGGAGCAGTCAGTGTTATACTTTTTCCACAAATATCACAGCTCCACGCACAAGCAATAAATGACACACGGATTTAGCGTTTATTAAAAATGTAGTAATTTTCCACACAATGCCACCTTCTTGAGCTTAAGTATGGCAACGCAACACATTCGTTTCTATGAAAGAACCACTAAACGTAATCCTCTTTGACGTATCGCACAAAACACTGTAGACTTAAGGGGGTCGCGGATAATAAACAGGACATACCAAATCTCCCTACGTGTTGTTCTTGGAAGTAGAGAGGAGGTGCTCTCGTCAGAGCTGTTGTGTACACACTGCCTCTCCTGCACTCACCAGTCCTTGGTAAGGCAGCGCCGACCGAGGTTACACTGACTCAGCTCCCTTACCCAGAGCGACACCTTACTTTTCTTTAATCACCTTGTTGCAGATAAGATAAGAAGAGGAGGAAATGGTGGGAATGGAAGAGATATAGCTTGCCACCAGTCGGGTACACACGAGAAACTGACACACCTCACACATCAGTCAACTTCTTATCTTATCTGTGATAACAAGCACGTAATATATACTAGTAGAGGATAATAGAGAGATAGAGAGACAAGAAATGAGAGTGACGTTGTTCATGGTCACCGGAGAGATCACACTTGTGGTGGTCCTCAGGGAAAGGTGCCATTGGAAGCAACTCATCCTTATTTTGCTACATGAAGTCTATCTGGAGGGTATTCCGGGGATCAACGCCCCCGCGACCCGGTCCACGGCCAGGCCCTCCCGGTGGATCAGGGCATGATCAACCAGGCCGTAACTGCTGGCCACACGTAATCCAACGTACGAACCAGAGCCCGGCACCGACTTTAAGTATCTGTCCAGTTCCCTCTTGAAGGCAGCGAGGGGCCTATGGGTAATTTCCCTTATGCTTGGTGGGAGGCTGTTGAACAGTCTTGGGCCCCGGACACTTATGGTGTTTTCTCTTAGTGTACCAATGGCGCCCCTACTTTTCATTACCTGGAGTTTACCTGGAGAGAGTTCCGGGGGTCAACGCCCCCGCGGCCCGGTCTGTGACCAGGCCTCCTGGTGGATCAGAGCCTGATCAACCAGGCTGTTGCTGCTGGCTGCACGCAAACCAACGTACGAGCCACAGCCCGGCTGGTCAGGAACCGACTTTAGGTGCTTGTCCAGTGCCAGTTTGAAGACTGCCAGGGGTCTGTTGGTAATCCCCCTTATGTATGCTGGGAGGCAGTTGAACAGTCTCGGGCCCCTGACACTTATTGTATGGTCTCTTAACGTGCTAGTGACACCCCTGCTTTTCATTGGAGGGATGTTGCATCGTCTGCCAAGTCTTTTGCTTTCGTAGTGAGTGATTTTCGTGTGCAAGTTCGGTACTAGTCCCTCTAGGATTTTCCAGGTGTATATAATCATGTATCTCTCCCGCCTGCGTTCCAGGGAATACAGGTTCAGGAACCTCAAGCGCTCCCAGTAATTGAGGTGTTTTATTGCTGTTATGCGCGCCGTGAAGGTTCTCTGCACATTTTCTAGGTCAGCAATTTCACCTGCCTTGAAAGGTGCTGTTAGTGTGCAGCAATATTCCAGCCTAGATAGAACAAGTGACCTGAAGAGTGTCATCATGGGCTTGGCATCCCTAGTTTTGAAGGTTCTCATTATCCATTCTGTCATTTTTCTAGCAGATGCGATTGATACAATGTTATGGTCCTTGAAGGTGAGATCCTCCGACATGATCACTCCCAGGTCTTTGACGTTGGTGTTTCGCTCTATTTTGTGGCCAGAATTTGTTTTGTACTCTGATGAAGATTTAATTTCTTTCGTGTTTACCATACTGGTAATTGAAATTTCTCATCGTGAACTTCATATTGTTTTTCTGCAGCCCACTGAAAGATTCGGTTGATGTCCGCCTGGAGCCTTGCAGTGCCTGCAATGGTAGACATTGTCATGCAGATTCGGGTGTCATCTGCAAAGGAAGACACGGTGCTGTGGCTGACATCTTTATCTATGTCGGATATGAGGATGAGGAACACGATGGGAGCGAGTACTGTGCCTTGTGGAAGAGAGCTTTTCACCGTAGCTGCCTCGGACTTTACTCTGTTGACGACTACTCTCTGTGTTCTGTAAGTGAGGAAATTATAGATCCATCGACCGACTTTTCCTGTTATCCCTTTAGCACGCATTTTGTGCGCTATTACGCCATGGTCACACTTGTCGAAGGCTTTTGCAAAGTCTGTATAAATTACATCTGCATTCTTTTTATCTTCTAGTGCATTTAGGACCTTGTCGTAGTGATCCAATAGTTGAGACAGACAGGAGCGACCTGTTCTAAACCCATGTTGCCCTGGGTTGTGAACTGATGGTTTCTAGATGGGTGGTGATCTTGCTTCTTAGGACCCTTTCAAAGATTTTTATGATATGGGATGTTAGTGCTATCGGTCTGTAGTTCTTTGCTGTTGCTTTACTGCCCCCTTTGTGGAGTGGGGCTATGTCTGTTGTTTTTAGTAACTGTGGGACGACCCCCGTGTCCATGCTCCCTCTCCATAGGATGGAAAAGGCTCGTGATAGGGGCTTCTTGCAGTTCTTGATGAACACGGAGTTCCATGAGTCTGGCCCTGGGGCAGAGTGCATGGACATGTCATTTATCGCCTGTTCGAATCATTTGGCGTCAGGATAACATCGGAAAAAAAATCCCCCCCCAGTACCAACAATACCACCAGTCCGATAACATTCTTCTTTGCAAATATACAGGGTCTAAAGCCAGCAACAAACAACAAAATACCTTTCATCCGTGGACTGCTTGCAGAGGCAAAGGCAATGTTCGCGGCTTTCTCTGAGACCCACATAAAGGATCACTTGGACAACGAAATATGGATCCCAGGTTACAACCTATACAGATGTGACAGAGTGAACAGGCAAAGTGGGGGGGGGTTGGCCTGTACATTGCAGAGTCACTTGTTTGCACAGAACTGCTAAATGCCTCAAATGATGTAGTGGAAGTTTTAGCAGTAACGGTCGAGAACCAAAACCTAGTCATTGTGGTAGTCTACAAGCCTCCGGTGCAACAACCCCAGAAAATTCCGGGAACACGAAAAAAAATTTGGACCACTGCCCTGGAAAATTTTCCCAGCCCTGCACCCAACATTTTGCTCCTGGGGTTTTTAAACCCTTAAGGCCCCAAAAAATGGAGGAATATAGCAAAAAATTTTTTGCAGTAATAACCCCAGGAGGCAGCCTAAAGAAAACTCACCCTCACACGAGCTTTTAAACCCTCGCAAAAAAATTAAATTTTAAAAACCACCCAAATAATAGACCCCTAGACTGGAGAATCCCACTAGACCTCATCTTAAACTAACAATGATGATCTGATAAAAAAATTAAACCATATCAAAAACAATATCCCTCAATCAAAAACAAAAATTTGGGGTTCAGACATGTATGCGTGGAGCCCCAAAACCGACAAAATTTAGATTTTAGCACGGGGGAGCATTCACCAAATTCAACTTCCTAAAAAAAAACATAAAGGGGGACCAGTAAACCAAGTCCAAACCGTATAACCCGGGGAAAGATATATTTAAGCAACAAAACCCCAAAGTACCCCTAGAACAGTTTTAACTTGGTGGCACTCGATGTTGACAAGGCTTTTTCCTCTAAAAAAAAGGAAAAAGTAATGAAAAATAGAAAGAGACAGGCCTCCCTTTACGGGCAAAGGAAAAAAATTTCAGGGGGCGGCAAAAAGAGGTAAATTATTTTAAAATGCGTAGGGAGACAAGGTCAGAAAAAATAGCAACCCTCGAACTCAAGCAAAAAGGAATCTTTCAGGGCCCAAGGAATCGGGGGGAAGAACAAAAAGGGCCATAAATGAAATCGAAAAAAAACCCAAGTATTTTTTCTCCTAGGGCCAAAAACAAAGTCAAAAACAAAAACCATTATTGGGCCCCATTTAAAAACAAGAGGGGCCCCTACACAAAAGACAGCAAGGAAATGATGAGCTACTCAAGTCCCAATATGACTCAGTTTTTGAAACCCGCAAAACCAGACTGAGAGTCGAAGATCAAAACGAATTTTTTAAAACCCATTTTTTTAAAACGCTCAAGGGGAGTGATTTCTGGGGTGCAAATTGGGGGGACCTTTTCTTTTTAGGTTTTTCCAAGTGTAGATTTGATACATCTCTCCCCGAAATTCCAACGATACAATTTCAAGTCCCTCCAAGTTTTCCCGTAGTTAAAGGTTGTTTGACAAAAATTATATTGCAGAAAAGGGTTTCTCGGGTCCCTTTCCTAGATCTGCAATTTCACTGCTTTGAATGGAGATTTTTAAATGTACAAAATTAGAGAAAAACAAATGTTTTTGAAAAGGATCTTTCGGGGGTTTTGGCATCCCCCCCTTTTTTTCGAACTTTTCTCTTTAGCCATCCTATCCCTTCTTGAGCGTGTTTGGGCCCAGTTTTGTGACCCTTAAAAATTTGGATCCTCAGAACATTACCACTCCCAGGTTCCTCAATTTTTTTTTTTCCCCCTCTATTGTATGATCGGGTTTTTGTAGTTATTACTCCCCCCAGTTTTCCATAACGGAGTATTTTAAAATTTTGGGTTTTCCCCTCAAACATCATTTTTTTTTTCCTTTTCCCCTTGGGAAAAACTTGTTTTAATATCTTCTTGGGGAAAAAACCGTATCGTAAATTAGAGGGACAGCTCATAAGATCCTAGTTTCGTCTGCAAAGGATGACACGGACTGTGAAATAATCTTTTTTAAATGCTGAAAAGAAATGGGGAAAACGGATGGGGGGGGAGTACTGGGGCCTTGGGGAAAACAGAGTTTTTTCCAGGGCAGTTTCCGTTTAAACTTTTGCCCACTACTCTTTATGTTCTTTGGTTTAGGAAGTTGAAAAATCCACTCCCCACTTTGCCAGTTTTTCCCTTTAAAGCAATTTTTTGGTGCGTATTACCCCCATGATCGCACTTAAAAAAAGGCGTTTGCAAAGTCCCTGTATTTTAAATTTAGAAATTCTGTTTTTTTTTCCCTGGAAACCCGAACACCATTCATAGTGATCCAGTATTTTTGCGAGGGCGGGAGCGACCTCCCCTAACCCATTTTCCCCCTGGATTGTGTTTTTTTTGGGGGAACCCTTGTGGTTTGAAATCGTGAAACAAAAACCCCAAAAGTTTTTTAGGGATGTGGGACGTTAGAGTTTTTGATCTATAGTTCTTAGCTAATCGTTGCTGCCACCTTTATGGAGGGGGGTTTTTTTGAAAATCCGTTTTTTTTAATGATGGAATGTTATCAAAGTTAAACTCCCTTCCCCACTGTATACTTAGGGTAAGAAAAAAGGGGTTTTTTTCATTTTCTTAATGAACATGTTCCACGGGGGTCGGGCCCCGGGGGCCCTTGAGTACAGGGAAAAATGTGCTTGTTGTCAATGGTTTTCTAAATGCTACCCGGAGTTAGGGTAATGCGGAAAACTGGCATACATTGGGGATTTTGAG